TATATATATATATATATATATATATATATATATATATATATATATATATATATATATATATATATATATATATATATATATATGTTTGAATCCCTGGTTCAACCACTCGAACCACTGGTTCGACCAGTGAACTAGTGCCTTGACCGGTTCGGTTCTGAAAATTACTCCGTATGAGTGTACCACTGGCATTTTTGATAGAGCAATGGCAGGGTACACCTTTCCCCATCTGTCCCCCCTCCCCCAATATAAATGAGTGTTGGGCATGTGTAGGGGTGGACATGGTACCGTTACCGTCGGCCGGGACGGTCCACCGGTTCCGGGAACCGGTACCGTCGGCCGGGACGGTCCACCGGTTCCGGGAACCGGTACCGGTACCGCCCACTCCGGTACCGGTTCCGGTGCCCATTTTTCGGTACCGGCACCGGCGGTACCGGTTCCGGTACCGTAATTAATTTTTTTTATTTCATTCTTTCCTTTATCAATTTCATTTTTAGAGTTTTTTATTTCATCCTTTCTTTTAACAATTACACATTTACAATTTTACACTTTAAAAATTTAATAAAAAAAGCAAAAAAAAGAGGAAATTATGGGTGGCCGAAACGGTACCGGAACCGGAACCGGAACCGAAACCGGAACCGGAACCGCCGGTACCGGAACCGGTACCAGATCATCCGGTACCGGTACTAAAGGATGACGGTATCGGAACCGGCGGTTCCGGAACAGGAACCGTCCCGGAACGGTACCTTGTCCGCATGTGTAGCCTGCGAGTATCAGGCTAGACTCCATTATTTGACACTCTATTATTGGGTTCCTACTTTTTCTTAAGACTTCAAATACTTTTATCCCCTCCCACTCTGCGGACACTGAAGTCTGAGTTGCTGATATTTATCAGATTTGCAGACCAATAATCAAATTCAAATGGCTTCTCAAGATCATCACCACCATGAAGATGAGCATGAACATCACCATACCCATGGGTTTACTCTTCTTCCCTTCAATTCAATCCACATTTTTTTTAAATTTTTTCAAACTTTATCTTGAGTTATTTTCTTCACTTCCATTAGGGATTCAGGAGCAACAAACTGGGTGGGCCCAGATGGGAGGGTCTACCATAGCCATGATGGACTTGCACCACATTCACACGAACCCATATACTCACCTGGCTTCTTCAACAGGAGAGCACCTCCTCTGACCAACAGGAATTTCAATGAAAGAGCCTTCACTGTTGGGATTGGTGGCCCTGTTGGAACTGGGTAATTTTTTCATATTATTCCTCAATTCCAGCTTTTAATGTTTATTTGTTTATGAATTTTAGAAATTGGTCTTATTATTCACGATCTATTTCATCCTTTTGTTTTACTTCTGTGCACATTCCAGCTTTGTTCCCTCTTTCTCAGCTGCATTTTGCTTCATTGGGAGATTCTGTAAAGTTCAGTTCTTTTTGTATGGATGACATTGCAAAAGTTAAACTTCTTCTAGGTCTGGTTAAAGGGTTTTTGGATTGAGTGTCTTTAGCCAAGAATTTCAACTCTATTTTAGTTGTTGGGCATGCAGGAAAAGACTCATGTTTTCTAGGGAATTTTTTTTAAAATGTTTAGGTTTTGTTTAGCTCTGGCTGTGTTCTTTTGTGCTTTGTTTTTTGTGTTGATCTATTATAAGTCTCACTCTGAATTATTTATGAGAGAATGACGTGTTAAAAAGATCTTGAATTGAGCTAGTAGATCTGATGGATTCAACATTTTAGTTAGTTCTTTTGAATGCTAACGACTCTATTAATGTTGTATATGTCCATACATTTCTCAACCTAATGACCCACAAAGAGCCAATGTCTCCGCCTCTGTTGGGGCTCGAACCTGGGTAAACTTTTCCAAATCCTGAGGAATGACCTCCTTAGTTCCTACCATTCAAGTCAGGGGAGAAGTTCACATTTTAGCTAATTTAATTCACCCCAAAAGGATCCTAGCTAGTTTAAATACAGATTTGACTAGCATCAGATGTGGTTCACTTAACAAGCTAGTCTTTTTTTAAATTAATGTTGCAGTAAAACAGCATTGATGCTCGCATTGTGCAAAGCGTTAAGAGACAGATACAGCCTAGCAGCAGTATGTATTCCACTTGTCATTTTAGATTCACTGCAACTCCAGAGATTGTATATCACATATGAAAAACGTTGAATTTATGTTGAGTATATATGTCCTTTTCGGCTGAAATTTAGTGGGTTTAACCAAATCTAACTGAATTGAAAGTCAGTTATACTCTTACTTGAAAAGTGGTGAACTGAACTTGACTGAAGTGAAAACTAAACTGAATAACTTGAAAACAAGTCGAAAAGAACAGATTCATTCGATGATTTTTTTCCTTGAGACCTTTTTCATGATATATGCATTGAATGAAGTCCAAATCAAGTACTGAACCATAACAATATAGATTAAACAAAGGCATATAAAAGGGAAATGTTTGCTCGTACATAGGTGACGAACGATATATTCACAAAGGAAGATGGAGAGTTCTTGATAAAACATGGAGCTCTTTCGGAGGAAAGGATTCGTGCAGTTGAAACAGGAGGCTGCCCACACGCTGCTATTAGGGAAGATATAAGCATTAACCTTGGACCTCTAGAAGAGCTTTCGGGCTTGTTTAAAACTGATATCCTTCTGTGTGAATCTGGTGGAGGTAATTTTTTTTATTTCCTTTTTACAGTACAAGAATTGAATGACAATATGGCGATTTTTCTATGTATCTTTGGGATTTGGATGCAGATAATCTAGTCTTCCTTTCTTTTGAGATTTTACTGGGTTTGTTCTTGTTAATGTTGTTGGGTACAGATAATCTAGCTGCCAACTTCAGCAGGGAGTTGGCTGACTACATCATCTACATAATTGATGTATCTGCAGGTGATAAAATCCCACGAAAAGGTGGTCCCGGAATCACCCAAGCTGACCTCCTTGTAAGCGGTTTCATGTAGTTTTTTTTTTGGAAAAAATCATGCTGAGACCCTAAGAAATTTGAGATTTTACATGAATACTCCAAGATTACAAAATTATTACCAGTGCTTCTATAGTTAAACTATTTTTGCAACAAAGACCTTGTTATGCAAAAAATTGCTTTTCCTCGATGAAATGAAAGTTTGATTCATGTAAAGAGATTCTAAATGTGATTGATCGATCTGTGATGGACAATAAATCCACCAAATGATCCGATTTACAGAGCGGATCGCAAGAACAAAATTAAGAACAAGAATTCGAGAATTGGATGTGTATTACTAGCTTGATTTAGCCTGAGTTCTCCCCTTTCGGGTCCCTTCTATTTATACACGAGCTCTCAACAATTAAGGTGAAGCATAACCGATGGAGTCTAGCCCGCCAAGGGCGCGATCCCCTTTTCCCGGCTCCGTAACGGCCAATCAGCTCCGTCTCCTTCTCCGGACTGACTCTGCCAGCTGCGCTTGGCCTGAGGTTAACTAGGCCCAGCTCCTTGGGCCGGCCCAGCTTGAGTATTTCACAGGTGCTTGACCCGAAGCTGTTTAAATGGTTCATTTGGGCCGTCCTCTGGATATCGGCCCATCATAAGCCCCCCAACTCCTCAGTCCTCAGCTGGGCCAAGCGGAGGAGTGGGGAGTTTGCAAAGTCCACGTGGACGCTCCAGCGGGGATCCGGGCCGTTCCTTGGGTTCCGCACGACACTTGGGCACGATCTCCACAAATAAGTAATCATGGCATGCCGACTCGTCTTCCTGTTGTCAGTTAAAAACCGCCGCTGGACGCCATCTCTTCCTTTCGCCTTCTTCACTACCACTCGTCTGCAACTCCGCTGCTCACCCGACTCGTTCTTCTTCCTGTCCAGGTCAGTTCCTTCTCTCGCCGCCATGATTGTCTCGGATTCCGATTCGGCT